GGGCCGTGCCGGCCCTGGCGCCCTCCCCAGCGCCCCGTGGCCGGTGGGGACCGGGCTGTCGGCCAGGGATGCGGGACCGAGCCCGGGCGGAGCGCACCCTGTGCACATCTGTCCCCCAGAGTGCCGCTTGTCACCTGTGGCTGCCAACAGCAGCTGGCTGTGAGCCAGACACCGAAACCCCGAACGTCCCAAGGTCGCCCTGCTGGCACTGCCGGTGCCTCGGAGGCTGCCAGCGATGGAGCCTGTGGCAGAGCTTGCCTGGCAGGGAACGTCTGCTATCGGAGCTAATCTCCCTTGCTAAAACTCAGGACTACTAATAAGAGCAGTTTTGTAGTGTTTGCTCCGATTTAGGTGTGTAGCTTTTCTTTGGAAGCACTGCAAGTAGCCAGTGACTTCAGTGCTCCTCTCGGGGGTTTCCAGACTACTGCTACTTCACTTGGCCAAGGTCTCCTGCGGCTTTCCATTTTGCTGACAACGTTAGATCGCCTTAATATAAACTAAATCAATATGGAATAGGTGATTTCTTTTTTCCCCCCATTAAAAGATCAATTCTGCAGTTTTGTTCCATTCACAAAATGATGTCACGTTTTACAAAATCCTATCATAATTCTACACAGTACTCTGTATTTGCTTCCCATGCATTAAACTTTACGGTGCACTGTGCTTTTCCTTATGAGACACTCATAAACTTACTGCTTATTAAAAGTTAAGATCTGCAATAATTTGCATACTTCCAGGACATGATATTTTTAGGAAAAAATCAACAGCAGTAATGTTATAAAAAGTAATAAAAATGACATTCTTAAAAGGTGTCTATTTCAGTAGCATTAACTCAGATGTTAAAGCACTGACTATGTGCAGTACTAATTTGGGGAATTTTTATTTTAGCCACTGCTCTAAAACGAATACATCATGGATAAATATGAAATCATTAAACAAATTGGAGAAGGATCTTTTGGCAAAATATTCCTGGCAAAAGGAAAAACGGATAAGGAGCCATGTGTTATCAAAGAGATCAATTTAACTAAGGTAAAACAACAAAACCTGAATTATATTTATCAGATTGTGCTACTTGCATTTTGCTAGGTATGAACTTAGGTTATATTTTATCTTCTTTGTAGTTCCATCTCAACTATATAGAGCTAAGCTTTCCAAATAATGTATTCTTTGCTAACTTATTATTCTTAAAGCACAGGTACAATACATATTTTGATATTAAGTCTTTGCTTTTTAGTGTGTTTTTGTTGTTTTCAAAGCTTCTTTCTTCCTACAGTGTGGCACTGCCTAATTCAAATTCTGAAATAGTTGATTCAACTACAATGAAAATATTGCCACTAAAATAACAAATCACAGTTCTGTGGTGAATTTCTCTAAGCTTTTTAATTTCCTTGTTTCCCACATCCGTATTTTCAGACATGGGTAATTCACAACGGAGTCTTTCCAATTCTCATTTATGTTTATGGCAGTTTGATTCGTCTCATTCGTCTGATTTTAAGTTTCTGTTCTGTTGCTGTCAGCATTTGAGCTGCTTGGCCAGACATCCTTTCAAGGAGAAGAGAATTAAGTATTTTTAGGAAGCTGTTGGTCACATTTGTTTAAGATTTCTGATTAGAACAAGCTCAGTTGGACCACAAAACTTCTGTCTTCCTTCCCACTGCCTGCAGAGGCAGCTTGGGGCCACTTGCTCGGGTGTTGGGGGAATATCACGGCTGTATCTGGTTCCATAAAAGCAATTAAAATCTCTGTAATTTCAATACAGGGGTTTTAACAGTCAGTTTCAATGAGTGCCTACATGCTTTTGACAGATCTGTTGCTATTCTGGGCCACCCCAGTGAATTTCTAATATATTAGAGAATTACAGTAGAAGAATGAGTCCTAGAAAGAGCTGTATGTCTTCCAGATTCAAACCTGGAAAGGCTGACACATGAGTAATGACAACTAAATGAAAAGATGGATAGTTTCTCTCTCTGCTCATGACCAATAAACTCCATGCATTTCTAATCATAGATTTTGATGTACAGCTAGAAGAATGGCTGCTAATGAAATACTGCTGTGAATCCCACTTGTTCAAAAATCAGAAGCTGGAGACAGAAAATTGCTACTTTGAATTCAAAAGATTTTTATTTTTTTTAATATGGTAGAGTGTGTTTTTTTCAGTAACTGATTTTTGGATCTTTAAGGATTACATTTCAAAACTATTTCTTAAGAATGAGGGTAAGAAACTTGATAAATACAAGAAAACATTTTGAAGGATAGATACTCAGAGAAATGAATTTTTAAGTTTTATTGATGGAAGTGGGATCATAACAAACTAAATGGAAGTTTTTCATTAATGTAACAGGGCAAAGAATTTGCTTGAAATGTTACAGGAACAAGTAACATCCGTAAAATGAAGGATTTTTTTTTCTTTTCACTTTGATCTTTTGACATCACCCCTATTAGCATTACAGTCATCTACATCTGTACTCTTCAAATTCTGAAGGAAATTCTTTAGAGTTTCAATTCTTTCACTTCAGTTTAAATGTATACATTTGCCTGTTTGTAAAATGTCAAAATTTGGTTTGACTTCAATATTGTTCTAATACACTTTCAAACATACACTGCAAATCTATTTCCTATAATAAAAATTATATTTACTATTAATAATAAGTAATTATTAATACTATTTATAAGAATAAAAATAATTAAAAATTATAATAATTATTATTTCTAATAGTATATATATTTATAGTAATAATTATTATATGATAACAAATATAATATTTTTTATTTGTCTTTATGTTATATATATCTATCATACTTTATAATATTTCCACATCCTCTTGGTACACTGTATTTTTGTATTAGTGAGAATAGTTTGGTAATGATGTAACTATTTTTGAAAAAAGTTTAATATATCATTGCTAGCATTTAGTTTCTTAATTCTTTGTAGATGCCTGTGAAAGAAAAAGAAGCCTCTGAGAAAGAAGTCATTCTGCTGGCCAAGATGAAGCATGCAAATATTGTAACCTTCTATGCTTCTTTGCAAGGTTTACTTTTAACATTTCTGTTTTAGTTGTGGTGAAAGGAGTGGAAGGCAGAAAACCTACCTTGTTAGTGTTGAGCACCCTTAGCCCTGTCCCTAAAGCCTTAAACGTGGGAAAAGGTCTCAACTCCTAGAAATGGATACGAACCATCAAATTCAGGCATCGCTTGCATTTTTCACATGTGTGAGTGGGTACTTGGCATAAATCCTAGATCCTGAGATGTCTGTACTGTACAAGTTGAATTTTTGTCATGATTTTTTATGGGAGTCCATAGTTTAGTGGGAATTTTCTAGTAGTTTCAATAGAGGAGAGCTTTTGAGTATAGCAAGGAATAGGCTAATCAAAAAGGACAGAAGGCTGATGAAACAGGCAAGAAATAGAATGATCATTTCATCTGATCTAACCTCGGGTTCCTCATATTTTGTTTATCCACATCATATACATATGACATTATATGGTTACGACATGTACATCACATATGCATGCACACATATATTCATACTTATGTATGCTTATACATACACACAGACAAAACAGGCAAGCACAAAAAGAGGCCATTTAACAGAAATTAAGTATATTAGTACATCTGAAAATGTCTTTTGGCACCTGGAATATAAAAACAGTATTGGCATTTCATACCTTCATACAGCACTGTCTTTCCAGTGATCCAATATGAATCTCATAATGCTGTGCTAGACTTTTTTCTTCAGGTGAATTTTGAATTATCACTCAAGGATAAAGAATTCTTCATGACTGAAAGAGATAGAAGGAATTCTGTTCACCATGAAAGCTATTTCCCTGTATTTATTTTTCCTCTGACATCTGCCATAAGTAGTGCCTTATGTAATAAAAGTTACAGTTGCAGCTTCTGTTCAAATTGTTCTCTGTGACCAAGACTGTAACTGTTCTAGGGGACATGTAGGTCAGATAGTCTTCTAACCCCAGAGAGGTAAGAACAGGTTGAATTTTTCTATTAAGCAGGCCCTGCTGTTTCCTTTTGCTTTTTGGAATATTGTCTACTTTTAACCTTTTCCCTAAGCCTTACTGCTTACTTAGTTGTTGAGCAAAAAACCTGAACTTTGAAGCATTTCGCTAAGTTTCCTGTAAGAACATCTCTCAGTGGGGTCTCTTGAGGCTCTCCTCATGTATTTAATATTTCACTGAATCTCCATTTAAATATATTTTTACTTCTTATTTTTGCATCAGGTTTCATTGTAATTATCTATTTTTTCACAGTCTTTGAAATTAAGGAGTAGGTAGAGGTAAATTGCTACTTTTTGAAAGAAGGGCTGTAAAAATAAAAATAAAAATAAAAATAAATTGTTGCTGTGCTGATGAAGAATACAGGAATAAAGGCAAAATTATGCTTTTCCTTTCAGAAAAGAACAAGCTATATATTGTGATGGAATACTGTGATGGTGGAGATTTAATGAAGAGGATAAATATGCAGCATGGAGTGCTGTTTGATGAGGACCAGGTGAAAGACAATTTCTTTAGAGGGAAGAACACATGTGAAACACGTGGTTTGAATTATTCAGTAATAACTGAACTTTTAAAGAAAACTTTGGTAATTTTAGTTGCAGTGTAGGAAGGTTTTTTAGCACTCTTTAAGATCTGAAATTAAATCATTAGTATGATGATGACTTTTTTAATGCCCCCTTCCTCCTATTGCTCTTTGCATTGTAGATGTACTTTTTTCTTTACATTAGCAATATACCCATTAAACCACTAAGACCTTCTTTTAAGCAGTGCTTTCCAGTTATGGGGAGGATGTATTATGTACAAATTCTTAGTTTGTTGGTGCTGTTTGCATCATGGCATATCCTCCTTTGTACTGAAGTTTGTGGTAAATCTCTCTTTCATTTCATTTTGATCAAAACTTCTCTGATGCCATTTAAATTATTAAATCGGCACAGAGAAACAAGCCCAGATATCTGACTGCTTTTGGGCCATGTTCATGTGTATTTTATTTTGTAAATAGGTGAGAATAGTAAGTATTGCAATTCACAGAAGTGGAATTTCCCACTATTCCTTACTTACTCCCTTATTTTTTTGCTAACTCTAAGCTTTCTGTAGGAAATTTTCTTCATATAGGAATTAGTGGACTGAACTCTGGAGTTATCTAGTCATAAATAAAATCTACTTTTACAAATACAATGACATTTTGCTTAGAAACCAAGTAGATAGTATCCAACCTCCTAGTGGAAATATACTCTAGAAAATTGGCATAAAATTGAAGAAAAAAAAAGTATTGTTACTTTCCTTTTTGCTTTAGTAGTAAAAGAGGAACTCCTTGGTGGAGAAGTCAGTTGCAAGTGAATTACTTGTTCAGTAATAATGAATTTTAAGATCCTATTGGGAGTCATGCTAGAGGCAGAGAGAACATGAAAGAAAATAAAGAGAGGACAAACCCACAGATCATGAAAGCACAAAGGAGAGAACCAACACACAAACCCCTTGACAATGACACAGAATAATACATATCCAAAGCAAGGCAAAAGAAATACAGACAGAAGAATGAATTACAGAAACTAAAGATACATTTGCTGATCAAAGAAATGAAAGCAAATCTTCCCAATTTAACCTAACAGTGTTAAATTATCTTTATATTTTCAAATGTACTTCTGAGAAAGTCTCATTTGTGGCATCAGCCCTAATCAGGAAATCATCTATTTAATGTCAAGCATTGCTAAATAGAAGGTAATTACTTGAATCAAAGTCTTTCATGTGCATGAATTTTCCTAAACAGAGAAGCGTATCAGCAGGTTGTAGTTTTGTTTCTGAATTTAGTCCAAAGGCCCTTATTTAAGAAGACATGTATACATTGGAAGTTAAATATATGTTTAAAAGCTGTACTGGGCCAAGGATAAAGGATGAACACACACGTGCCTACTTTTTATGCAAGTTTCTTCATAGCTCACTTCTTTCACTAGAATTCAGTCCTTCATTTTTTTTTTTTTTTTTTTATTTTTTTGGCTCCTGGATCACATTCAGTAGGACTACAAATATTTTTCTACAGCTGGGTGGTATGACTTCCATCACTGAGGATTAAGAAGCCACTTCCCAATGCCGTCTTAGCTATTTGCACTCCCTCACTTCTTAAAAAAGGTCTATTTCTCTCTTCTTTCCTTTGGCATGATTCTTCAGTCCTTGTTAAAATGCATGTCCTGGCACAGTCAGGGAAAGTTTGAGGGGGATAAGTGGAGTAGATATCTATTTCCATTTAGTTTAGTGATAAATGGGAAGGAAAAGTCTATGGCATTAACTTTAAAAATACCTTTTTTACTGTTTTATATTGTATACGTTCTATATACTTTAGATTTTGTTGTTGTCTTTATTTTATATATTTCAGTAAGATGCCCCATTAGAGTCACACAAATTCATAGGTACCTGTTCTCTGTTACTTTCACTGCAGATTCTCAGTTGGTTTGTGCAGATCTCCTTGGGCTTGAAGCATATTCACGACAAGAAGATTTTACACAGAGATGTAAAAACACAGGTAGTAAAACTGGTACTGGAGAGGGTGTTATTTTATCTTGTGAAACATATGCTTAAGCAGTTCTTTAAAAAAAAGTGCCATCTTTCATTCTCAGATACTATTTTTGGGTTTATTTGCAGAACGTTTTTCTTAGCAATAATGGAAAGGTAGCAAAGCTTGGGGACTTTGGCATAGCAAGACAGTTGAACAGGTAAGCAAGGTTTTTAATCAGTCTCTGACCTGCACTGAGCAGGAATGTTTGTGAATGTCCAGAATGCAGCCTGAGCATGCAAATTGTCTGTGGATTGTGCTTGCTCAAGAGGTCTGTGATATAAAGGGTCTGATGCTACATTTTCTTCTGTTACCCTAAAACATGCCATCCTGCATGGAAACACAGATGTATCTACCTAGTAAGTAGATTTTTGCTAGGTATAGGGCATAGGGTGGAGAAGCTACAGCCTTTGCCTATTCTCTGTGGAACTGACATAAAGAGATCCTGGAGGCACAGTTGCTGCCCATGCAGCTCTTGGTAATAACTTCTGTTACCTCATAAAAAGAAAAGTGAAGAGCATTTAAAACTAAGGAGCAAGTAATGGAAGAGAGTTTGTATGGATGTTGTGTGTCCTCCAAGAGCCTATGTTAATTTTTAAAAAAGACCCAGAACAACTACCTGAGCCTGAGAAAGTGGCATGGCTCCCTTGCATCTGTGTTGTTCTCCCAAAAAGAGAGGCCTTATCTTTAATGACTTTGGGAACAAAGTTGGCCTATCCTGAGTAGCAGCCATCTGTGACCAAAACATGCCAAGGGGCATGATAACAACAAGAAAATGCTTAGATTTGATCTCTTTTAGTGCTTTTTTATTATCTTTGACAGAACTCAACTCTAAGCCTGTAAACCACTGATACCCAAAGTGCCTTCCTTTGGAAGTGTTCTGGGCATAGTTGCTGTAAGGATTGCTTTTACACTGCAGAACAGTACCTAGCAGATAGGAAGTAAACCTCAGAATTTGAATGTCCAGTACAGATGTTTAAAAAAGTATATAATAGTCTTATATGACAGTATAATTGAAGCTTGACAGTACTTTTCCTCCTGTAACTAGTGAATTAAGTTTCTGCAGTGAGTTGTCACTGTCTGGATGCCAGGTGTCCACAAAAGCTGTCACTCCCCTCCTCAGCTATAAGGAAGAGAGAAAATACAGTGAAAAGCTCATGGACCAAGACAAGGGCAGGGAATTCCTGTGCTTTCTGTTAAAGTGCAAACACTTTCCACTATTAAAATAGTGCATTTTACACAGAACTGGGAAATGCTGTAGTTTTTCATGGGGTGTTCTATTATTCAACTGTTTGGAGAGCAGAAGTAGTGTCCCCTGTAGGCTTTTAACCTGGGGCAGTTCAGCTGTTTGTTGATTATAAACTTTTTCAGTGTGTAAGCCTTTTTGTTCATTGTGTTTTGTCAGTACTACAGAGTTTGCCCATACCTGTGTAGGGACCCCCTATTACCTTTCCCCTGAGATATGTGAAAATCGACCATACAACAACAAAACGTAAGTCTCCGTCTTTCCTTCCTGTGTGTGTGAGGATGTGCAGGGGTGAAAGAACTCATTTTAGTAATGTGGTTTAAATCAGTGTTTGTGCAGGGCATGGGAATTTCTCATGGTCACCCTTTGTGAAGTTTTGTACTATTGTGTACAATAATTAGGTGCATCATTTTACACAACAACTACCTTAGACAACAATGTCAGTAATATTTTAACTTACAATGTCCAAAATATAGCAATCATGACTTTGCTGTGATTAAGCTACAACCTTAATATAATTACATGTTTTGGCTTTAAAAAAGTGCTTATATTTTAAACTCTCTTTTTAATACTTCTTGTTGGTAGTGGTGGGAAATGTAAACCAGTATTTTTCCCTTTGCTTAATCTGCTTCTTCATCATTTACTAAATTTCTCTCATTTCCAAGATGTAATAACCGATGCATCCTTGCAGTTCCAAGTTTGTGAATTTTTAATATACTCATTTATCATTTATAAAAATACACTAAAATGAAAGCTGCTAGTTTGGCTGCTTTGGAAATTTGCAGTAGCCACTTGCAGGAAAGACAAATAGGTCTGGGTTTACCACAAAATACAAGATGAGAAACACTGCAAAGTCAGGAGGTGAGTGGGCCTAGAGCCCCTTCTCCATGTGGGGAATATGATCAACACCAAATGTTCTGGAGCTCAGAGTAGCATCTCAGCTCTGAGGTGCTGTTCAGACAAGTTTACTCCCCTATTGTCTCTTCAGCTATTGAATCAGCTTTGTCCTTCATCCTGTTAGAAATATGAAGCAGACTTCCTGTATCATGTGCCTTTTTCAATTATAATGATAAAACCTAATTAGATACCATAGAAACATTGGTGCCACAACTAAAAATAAATTTCTAGTTGTTCCTTTTAGTGTGTCTTAAGAAAAAATAAAATTTGCACCACTCTGTGACAGAATAATGGTAATAAATTTGTGAGCTGAGAAGAGGTACTGATTACATGGATGAAAATATTATAGACTTTTCACTGAAACTTTAATTACTTCTTATTCACAGAGATATTTGGTCTCTTGGCTGTGTGCTTTATGAGCTGTGTGCACTAAAGCATCCTGTAAGTACTGTACAATCAGCTCATTATTATATAATTAGAAAATATAGTGGTTATCTTGCAAAGCCTGTAGTAGTAATAGTATTCACATTCAGCTACAAGAGTTATTTCCATCTTAATTATTGGTATTAAAGAATGACTGTTAGTGTTTAACTTTTCATATTTTATCTGTTTTGTGCATAAGAAAATAAAAAGTATTATGTTGTATTCCTATAACTTACATATTTGCATGTTTGTGTATGTACTTTGAACATATATTTGTTCTTTAAAAATTACTAAACTTTTTCAAAGCAGATGAACAATGGAAAGAATTAAAGACAGTCTTCAAGGTTAGGCTTAGGTATATAATTTTACTCATTTCTGTTTGAAAATACCAGTCTATACTTACTAAATAAGAACCTAAACCCCACATTTCCCCAGGAGGTGGTTTGAGTCCCTGGAAGAATTTTTCTGAGATACATTTTGTTTGAAAGCACATTTATATCAGAAAATAACTGAGATAGCATCTTCAGGAAGTTGTGTTTTCCTCAGCCTGGTGTGAGCCTCAGGTAATCCTCAGCCTGTGACTATTACATGGCGGAGGGAACACAGCAGAAACTAATCTTGACAACAGGAGAAAGATCAGATTCCTGGGACCAGCAGATGCTGACTTCTTGCTGAGCTCGGATGTGGGAGCAGGTACAGCAGCACTAAGAGAACAATTGTGCTGAGCTAGGAGCAAGGGGGATACTGCTGAGGAAAACTGCTGATTTCACAAAGTGGCAAAACATGAAATATTACTCTGTATGAATATTAGGTGTTTTAGTCTGTATTGCTGCCCACTCTTTCAGTGTGAGGGCAGTGACTCAGTGCAGATGTAGACAGGAAATGCAAGTGAAGCTAAGGTAAATTCAATTCTACCACCTTCAAAATAGCCACATAAATAATAGGGTGGTTTTAGAAAGAACTTGGGAGGGGGTGTTGCCTAAGGCCCTATAAATTATATTGATGCTGGCCTCTTAAGAGATCTAGTGAACTGAGAGGACTGAATTATCTGATGGGTATCACTTGTTAAAAAATTAGGATTTTATCTTTGTTCTGGGGGGAGCACAGAATGCAGAGGCTGTTGGTTGAAGTGAGGTTTTGAAGCTGAACCCTATGAAGACAATATGTATGCAGATCTCTGTTGAGCACCTTTTGGTTAAACACATTGTGTTTCATTCTGGAAAGATGGGCTTCTGTGTTACTGTCTGACAGCAGAGGGTGAATAAAACACCTCCTGGTACAGAAGTCATTAGACCTTTTAGTTGTGCAGCTGAAACCAAGAGAACATAACCAGAAAACACAATCAGAGAGTGGTTATATTCATTTCCCATGGCAAACTGTGGTTAGCAAGGAAGGATTTGTGGAGGGATCCCACAGCACAGGGATTCTTCCCCCCTACTTCAGTCTGTGAGACCCCACCTGGAGTGCTGCATCCTGCTCTGCAGCCCCCAACAAAGGAAGGACATGGATTTATTGGAATAAGCCCAGAGGAGGGCCACAAAAATAATCACAGGGCTGAAGCACCTCTCCTACAAAGATAGGCTGAGAGAGCTGGGGTTGTTCAGCCTGGAGAAGGCTCCAGGGAGACTTAGAGCAGTTTTCTTGTGCCTAAAGGGGGCCTGAAAGAGATGAAGAAGGACTTTTGACAAGGGTATGTAGTGAAAGGACAAGGGAGAATGACTTTAAACAGAAAGATGGTGAACACAGGAAGATGGTGAACATTAGGAAGAAATTCTTTACCATGAGGGTGATTCTTTACTGTGATGCTGACTGGCACAGGTTGCCCAGAGAAGCTGTGGATGCCCCATCCCTGATGTGTTCAAAGCCAGGCTGGATGGGGCTCTGAGCAACCTCGTCTAGTGGAAGGCATCCCTGCCCATGACAGGGAGGTTGGAATGAGACTTTGAGGTTCTTTCCTACCAAACCATTCTATGAGTGTGCCAACAAGTACCTATTTTCAAATTGGGGTGTCCAGTCCATCATTCTGAACCATCAATATTTACTGTCCTCTTTTTATTGTTTTCCCTAATTAAGTTTCAAGGCAACAGTTTGCATGAACTAGTGCTGAAGATTTGCAGAGGACGTTTTCAACCAGTGTCTCCTAACTATTCCTATGATCTGAGGATATTAATTTCCCAGTTGTTTAAAATATCTCCAAGAGACCGACCATCCATCAATTCTGTTCTAAGGAAGCCCTTCTTGCAGAAACTTGTTCTCAGGCATCTGCCCCCTGAGGTGAGTGACTGTACTGCTGCCTGCTGAGAGAAAACAATCAAGGAAGTAGTATGAACAGTTCTATCAGATACTGTTTTTTTCTGAAAGGTAGCACAGGAAGAACTCATTCACACTGTGATACCTAGAAGAAGGCCTTCAGCATCTCACTCTGGAGCCAAGCAGATACAAGGTAATGATAATAATATTATGTATCATCAGTTCTACAGTAACATTTGTAAGTTTTGATACAACTGTTGGCAGCAACTTTCTCCAGAAGTCTTTACTGCACATTTGGATGAAGAATTTCACCCAAAGCTAAACGTAAATATTAGAGAGAACTGTAACAGCAGAACCATTCACCCAGGCAGTGTGCTGCTGTCCTGTTCAGGGAAAGGCAGGTTTAAAACTAGCTCATAAGCTGTGGTCATCTAGAAGAGCTGCTGTAAGAAAGTGCTGAAACATTAGTCTTAGTTCTTTAAAAAACAGAATTTCCAAAAGTGAGAGGCTTTGATCTAGTTTATGTCCATCACATGAGAAACATCCTTACTGCGTGAAAAAAGCATAAATCTTGCAAAACATGCTCCACAGAATTTTACTCTCTTGGTTTGAAAAGACAGATGTCTGCTAAGGAAAGCAGAAACCTTCCTTGAAATGGAAAAATGTAAACTGCCCTCACCCTCTGAATTATTATAATCTTGAAACCAAGGGGCTCTCAGGCAAAGATATAGGAAGAGGAATAACAGTTCTTTACTAGGAAAATGAAAATAAAAATGCAGTAGTACAAAAAAACCCCCCAGAGTCAGAACACAGCCTGACACCAAGCAAGTGTTGGTGGCAGTCCAATTAAATGGTGGCTGCAGTCCTCCTGCAGTGACAGATGTGGTTCTGTTAAAACAGTGATCCCACAGAAGGCTGTAGTTTTCCTCTGGAGGTCCACTGGTGGTGTAGATGGGTCTGGCCTTCCTCTGGGAATCCCCTGGAGAAAGGCTGCCTGTGGTGTTCCCAGTCTCAGATTCTATCCAGGTAGGAATGCTTGGCTCCTCCCCCTGGGTGGAGCATCTCACACTGGGATGATGTAATTAGTCCTGCAGTGAGACTCACTGTCCACATTTAACATATTAACAGAAGATATCCTCCTGGATGGATGATGGGTCCTGGAAGAGGTAAAGAACACTGCCTCACCTGGTTTTAACATGGTAATAGAACGCATACTCTTGGTTATGTCTTGCATTGCAACCCAAGACATTTACAAAACAACAAAAAAGTACAAAACAACAAAAAAGGATGTTACAAAGGTGTATAAATTTCATTAAATTGTGAGACAGTGAGCTCTTTTCACTACTTTCATTTAGTATCCATTGATAAACCAGATTCTTTATGCAGTTTCTAAGAAAACATGAAGGAAACTAAGTGGATGTCTATGTACTGTTGAATATCTGGCATGTTTCTGGCAGTGTAACTTCGTTCTAATTCTATATTCTTCATTATATCACAGTGAGTGCTCAGATTTATCTTTGGAATATCAAAACAGTTAAAACAGCTCTGTGAAAATAACTTATGTAGTTACTTAACTACACTTTGGACTCCCCTCCTCCACCCCCCTTTAAAAAATATTCATCAGTAGTGTAGGAACCCATGTTATTTTGAAAATGACTTTCAATGAGATTTATCTGCCCACATAACGAATATGGACAGAAGCCTGAACAACTAAATAACTTAGGCACTTTAAAAAAAAATCTCTGGTCATTTAATCATAGTTTTAATACATTTTATCTCCCAAACATGATACTCTAACAGTCAATACTGATGAAAGATTTAAAACTTACTTAGAAGCTATTTAATCCAAGAAAGGATACTGCTTTTCATTACTGCATCTAAGATATTTACAAAATACTGGCTGACCAAGCTGGAATGGTCTGTACTTGTATTCTCCTACATGGGAAACTGATAAGGTAGATTTTTTACTTTTCAGCCTTTCTTTTCAAATTTCACAAGTACCACAACATTGCCTAGTGATTTGTAGAGTATGGAGGGCTGGATTTAGAAAGGGAATGCCCTTTCAAGCATTTTAAGCAGAGGCACCTAGAGCCTGTGAATTAGACCTCCTGCTTTCTGTTCTTGGAACTAGCATAAAATCAACACTCCAGTTTATAAAGGTCTCCCTCTTATTCAGTATGCTGTGCAAAACTAATTAATAAGATCATCTTTGCATGAATGTGACAGAGCATGTTTTCAAAGCATGTCATTCTCAGAATGAGAAGCAGAATGACTAGGAGCTGTGAGGTATGGTGATGATGGTGAAAGGACATAAGGATTGTTTTTTTAACCCAACCTGTCAATATTAGATGTGGGCATCCTGCTAGGGTTTGACACCACATGATCAATAATCACATACAGAGCACAGAATGCAATTTTTTGATCTCTTATTGTTGAAAAGCATATAAACTAAAGAAAACAAGAGTCCAAGACCCAGTTTCTCTGGAATGTGGAGCAGTGATGCCTTTCAAGAAACAAGAATTATTTCAAAGAAATGAATGGAAGCCTCCTTCAAGAGTACAACAGCCTATTATTCAGGTACTGTGTATCCACATTCTCATATATACATATATATGTATAAACACATATACACAGACACAAATACATAATCATCTTCAGAATTATACATTATTACACACACACACACACACACACACACACACACACATATAATCTTCAGAAAGCAGATACCTGCACTTTAAAAAGATACTTTAAAAGGCTTGACTTAAGACATTAAGATGTATGTTTAGCTTAATGCCTGTACTAAGACAGTAGAGACAGTTAAACATGCCTGAATCCTCAGAAGAGACGTTTTGAAAGCTTAAATGTGAAACACTGAATCTAGGCTGCTTTGGTATGGTCCTTTGTAACAAAAGGATTCAGGCATGCTTCACATTTTCGTTTGCACAAAGGCAAATAAGCTCTGCATTCACATTTTTTGCTATAGAAGCAAATAGACCGATCCTGTTACTTCAGCCCTTCTGACAGCTCATTCATGGTCAAAATCATCAGCATTCACTTCCATTGCCTCAGATACTTGTTACTGACAGCCTTCTCCCAAATGCAAGACCAGTTTTTCACAACCACTTTGTCTCTCACTTGTTTTCCATCCCCTCTTTTCCTCAGGCAGGGTATCAGCTGCATGCTATGCCCAGCCTCTTTCATAGCATCACTGCACACATTTATGTTTATCTTTAAGAGCATGCAGTAGTACCTTGAATGCTAGTGGATATAAGCACAGCACTTTTGGGATCTGGGAGCCCCCAGATCTGCACACTGCAGTTACATGAGCTTAACTGCTAATAGGGAACAAGGAATTCCCAGAACTGCACCCATCACACAATCATTAACACTAACTATGAATAATACTGGCCCTATGTGGAACACAGGACTTGGTTTTCCTCACAGCTCCATTGTGCCAATGCAAATCCAGAGATGGATTAAGCTGGAAAAGAAGTTTGCTTTCACTGTGCGCTTTTATAATCAAAGGCAGAATTTTGTCCACAGTGTTTTGACCTACACTGGGAACATTTCCACATTCTTTCAACATCCAGATAAACTGTGTAGAGTTTCAGGAATGCTTGCATAGTGCCATACTTTGAAGGTGTTGCTTCAGGGTTCACAGAATCACAGAATGGTTGAAAAGGTTGAGGTTGAAAAGGACTTCTGGAAATCACCTGCCTGCTCAGGCAGGGTAATGTAGGTTCAGTTGTCCTGTTCTATGTCCAGGAATGGACATATGGCTGTTGAATGTCTCCAAAGATGGAGACTCTAAATCCTATTTGGGCAACCTGTGCCCCACCCTCAGGCACCCTCCCCCACAGTGAAAAATATGTTTTATGATATTCAGAGGGAACCTTCTGTGTTTCAGTTTGTGCCCATTGCCTCTGGTTCTGTTGCTGGGTAACTGGTCCAGTGCAAGGGGTCTGGCTCCATTCTCTTTGCACCCTCCCTTCAGGTAGCTATAACCATTGGTAAGATCCCACCTTCAGGCTAGACAGTCTGAGCTCTTTCAGCTTTTCCTCATAGGGATAATGCTCCAGGCCTTTCACTGGACTTTTTGAGCTTGTAACTGTCTCTTGTGTTCTGGAGAGCTCAGAATTAGACACAGCATTTCATGTGTGGCCTCACAAGTGCTGAGCAGTGCAAAAAGATCACCTTCCCTGACCTGCTGGGAATACTTTTACTAATGCAGGCCAGGATGTCATTCACCTTTTCAGCAAGGGCACTCTATTGGCTAATGGTCAACTGGTTGTCCACCAGCCCCCCCTCTTCTCTGCCAAGCCTCTTCCCAGCTGGATGGCTCCCAGCATATACTGGTGCAGAGTGTAGGACTTTGCACTTCTGTTGCTGAATTCCATGAAGTTTCTGTCATCCCATTTCTCCAGCCCTTTTTGGGTCCTTTTGGATGGCAGTACAACCCTCTGGTGTATCAGCCACTCCTTCCAGTTTGTGTTATCAGCAATCTTGCTGAGGGTGCCCTCTGCCCCTCTCTCCTACCTGATCTAAATCCTTGGTGAAGATGTTGAACTCTAGTTACTGGCTTTCAGCTGTGCTTCTCCCTGTGGTCACTACCCTCTGGGACAGTTTTCAAACAATTTCACTGTCTGCTCATCCCACCCTCATTTCATCAGCTTCTCTATGAGGATTTTATGGCAGACAGTGTCAAAAGCCTCCATGAGGCAGTTGCCTGATAGGAAATGCCCCCTTGCTCTCCCCTTGTCTGTCAAGCCAGTCATTTAATTGCAGAATGCTGGTGAGTTGGTCAAGCATGACTTCCTGGTGCCTGCTTCACTAGTCACAGTTCTCAGTCCTCTGGCATTTATTTAGGTAATCTAATTTGTTCTCCCTACTGCTTGGGGTTGCCATACTTCTGGATATGATACTGTAAAACCTACTTCACTAAGGAACGAGATAAACACTTCATGAGGTTACTTCTTCCTTGGGAACTTTGCTGACAGTTGGAAACTTTCTTCTTATACAGATATGAATTTATATTCTACTGTAATCTGGACTGTACCACAGGTACATGAGCCTATTTTCAGTGTATCTATGAAGGAAAATGGGAGGAATAGTTAAAGTATTAACCATCTGTGAAAGTGATACTTAGATGCATTTACATTTATGTAAGAAAGTAAACAAAATTTAGCATCTTTCTCATGCACCATATAGTCTCCCACAATGGAAAAGTTTGTGGATGTCTGACCACAGTTACATCATGCAGTGACAGCTAGGTGATCATCTTCTCTCTATTGTTCTTATGAGAAATGGAAATGCCAGTCTTGTCACAAAGGAGAAATACAGGGATGTTTCATCACAATAAGGGCTTTGAGAAATGAAAGCCCTACTCCCACATGCACGTAATCGAAGAGACGTGAAATGAAGCAGCACAGCACTCCCCTGAAAGCAGCCATCAATGCCTGTACTCTCCAAAACTACATCCCAGATTCCCCTTGCTATCACATGTCGAAATGAGGCTCTCCTGGAAATAATTCAGTGCTTTAGGCTCCAGAACAATGAAGTGACTCTAGGGCAAGGACCCTACAGAGTACAAAGCCCCATGCTGATCACTCACACAACAATATGAGCTGCTGCTTAATGACAGGAGCTGATGGAACAGGGGAAAAGGAAGTGGCAATGGTGAGATTGCATAAACCCTGAGAAGTTTGGAAGTTTCTGGGTTATATTTGAAAGGATTTGGAAAACTTACACTAACTATACCACAGACAGTCACATTACCATTCAACTCAGACTGGGGAGAAGTACAGGAGGTTAATTCAAACTTGTGCTGATACAAATGAGTATGGGTAAAATAACATCCTTTATTATATTTTCAGCTACAGACCTCCAGATTTAATATGGCAGAAAGGCCAGAAAGCATTAGAGTACATAACCATTACGGTCATTACTATGAGAAGCTTGACAACTTGCAAAGGAAAGCTAATGCACATTATGACCTTTCTCATATCAGCCAAAGAGGTGAAGATTTCTATAAAGTAAGGGGACAAGTTGCACCTCCACCTCCACCAGCTGATTGGTAAACATTTCACTCTGTATATGTCTGTCTTGTGTATTTTGAGCTATCAGCCTTCCTAAGTAAGTAATGCTGGGCATAACTGATTTAGTGGAATGCCTTCTCTGCTTTGTCTTTGATAATTTTTTTGTTATTTTTTTTAACTTAAGTTTGTTACACAACAACATAATTCATGTTCCTGTTCGTCCAGAAATTCCATCTGAATTGACCTGATGTTTGACATTTCATTGTCAAAATGTCTCCCAAGTCTCATTCCACTTTTACTGGGTAAAAAGTAAAACATAATCTTTCTGTAGAATCTCTGATTATACCAAGGATAAACACTGTCTGTCTTTCACATCAGGGTGAGAATAATACAAAGATCAGAGGCAGTTCTACACTGAAGGGAACAGAGTGAGAGGCAGGCCATGAAAGCACTTTTTTCGATGCAGCACTTATATTTCTGTTTCAAATATAAAGACCCTTTCTCTAGCAGTTTATTTACTTCAAAGATTTTCTGTTACAAAGTAGAAGTACAACCTCAGGAGATTTCCTGTCCATTCTGTAACTGACCATTTTAGGTGTGGATGAACATTGAAAATGTGGAGAAAGAAATTTTGACTACTTCCAAAGCTTTCCTTTAAAGTTGACAGAATCATTAATTTTCATTCAACAACAACAGTGTTTAGAATGTTTCAGTTACAGATCTTCAGATTTAGAACATCTTTCCTGACCTGAATTTCTAGTGACTTATTTTAAGGACAGAGTCAATTCAGTTTGGCTCTCTGCTGTACATATGGATTCCTGAGGTAGGAAATTAAATAAATGGGAAGCAGGGAGCTTACAAGTGACTGACGGTTATTTTATATCAAAAAGCAAAGGAAAAGTTTAGAAACTACACAGTTTGACTGATAGAATTAGGCACAGAGGAGAAAGACAATAAAAAGGTTGCTGAATATGCAGCCTCCATTCTAACAATTTTCACTCAATTTGAGGACCGGAAAAATCAATTTTGTTTTAATTAATGCTTTCAATACCATTTATCAAATTTAAGGTGGAAGGGCTTTCCTGAACTTTTCAAAAGGTTTAAGTAACTGAAGTAATAGGAAAGGGAATGCCTTGAAAGAATGTTTCCTTATTTTACTGTTGTGCCATATTTAAACATATTTTATCCATATTTATATATTCATGTAGTACAAAGAAAACTCTGTTTGTCTTATGTGGTAGAACATTTTAGAGAATTATTTGTGCAAAGGTAGCAGAGTCTGTGAAATAAAACGTAGTATATGTACATCACTTTCTTCTCTCAGGACTGCAGAATTTCTTCAAAGGCGGTTTGAAGCCCAGCAGTACAAGATTAAAGTGGAAAAACAGATGGTAGGTAAATGCTGAACCACAGAATAAAATCTGTAAAAGAAGGTGAATTGAAATCCAAAGATTAATTGATGTTTTTTGAACAGCAAACTGTAACACTGTCAGGTAGAAGGTTTTGCTCTAGCAAATTGCCTGATCTGCTCTGCAATGTTCAGCCTGAGGTTTTCTTTTCTCATATAAAACTGTAACAGTGTAAAATTCTACTGTGACTTTTTCCTCCAAAAATGTACACTTGCCTAACTGAGTTCTTCAGTGGAACAGGGAGAGAGAATTGAGTGAGCACTGAGGGAGAGGATTCTGATTGAAAACTCATTTGCTCTGGGATTCATTTGTATATCCATAGGGATTGCGACCATCCTCTGCTGACCCATATCGTGACCAAATACAGCAGCAGAAAACACAGGAAGAGCATCTCAAAAACCATCAGCAAAACATGTCTAGAAAGAATGAAATGAAAGAACAGGTAAATTAATCTCTTCCTCAATTGCCTAAAACTCCCTTATACTCCTTGGCAGTAGTATAGCCTTGGCATAAGAATTCTTTGTCATCAGATTCTCTTTTCCATCATCCGTTCTTTTCCATTCTTTTCCCACCTTTTAACGGAGGAGCAATATACTTCCATAGTTTTGCTTTTGGGTGACAGAAAAAACAAACTGATACTTCTATCTTATGTGAACATATATAAATACATTTAATCCATCTCTCTTTGGTTTATTAAAAACATATTCTACCCTACTGTTCTTTAATAGGAGTATTTGAAACAATTGCAGAAAATTCGGGAAGAATACCACAGTGATATGAAAGAATTCAGATTTAGAGCAGGAGTACTCCAGGTAACAAAGCTCAAACATATGGGTACTCATACTTACTTTCTTATGCTAGAACACTTTATTAGGAATTGAAATGAATATTTTTGAAAAACGTTCCCTAGGAGAACCAGAAAATACAAGATAAAACCTATCTTGTGAGGCAAGGGAAAGCTGAGCACCAGTCTGAAAACAAAGCTATATCTGGAACAGGAGAAGAATCACTTCAGGTATCAGTACCATCTCCATCTAAATAGATTTTTCTGAGCAAGTCCCACACTGTCTTTGATTCATTCTCATGCAGAAATATGCTCATTTCTGTAGTATCCTCCTCAGTGATCCTGGATCTGACTTTTACTGAAATGAATTCACTCCACTTGATGAAATAAAGTGGGTTATAGGCAGCCAGAGCCACCTTAGGAGAGAATTGGGATTCCCAGCGATTTAATGGAAAATGCACAATAATGAAAAAGAAACATTGGATTTTAGGCCTGCCTGGTGTGACTTTGTTTCATGGGCTCTCCATCTTTCGGAGAAACTGCATAAAAGTAAAATCTGTAAATTGTTGTGGTTTCTCCTGAGGCTTCAGGCATGCACTGATTGCCACAGATCACAGAAGAAGTTGTATAATATTATTTACTTGGCTTTTCTCTAACATATTCTTGCAGGACACATAATAATATTAAAAGGAGTAATTAAGTTTTTTAGGTGTTTCCAGAAAACAAGATATTGCAAAACAGGGTATACTTCTTACAGGCATAGGTTTCCACTAAAATCTTGATTTTAATCACTTCCAAAGTTTTCCGGAATAAAATGAGTCTGAGTCATCTTGCATGTGATAATAAAAAATAAAAGATGTAGTATTTATATCTTGACAAGTATTGTATCTTTCTAACATGGGTTTTTGAAAAATCAGAGGCTTATACTTTATGCAAGAATATCTGTTTTTCTTTTTGCCAGATAAACCAAAATCGGTAATGAATGGAATATTCTTACAGATCTGTGTAAAGGAAATTCATGACTATATGTGCTACTTAAAGAAGTCTCTTTCTTTATGTGGTATACACATATTCAGTTACAAAAAGTGTAATTCAGACTGATTTTTTTTGTCTCCTTCCAGGATACGGAGGAAAACTTTAAACAAGTCAGACTCCAGGATAGCCAAGACCAAACAATATTAGAAAAGAGACATAACACAAAAGTATCCATCTTTACTTGTATTTTTTTTTTAATTTTCCTATTATGTCTGTACATTTCAAATTGCTGTATTACTATGGTAGGTCTAGAAATGAAGTTATTTGTGAGTCAGTTAAGACTACTGGTTTTCTGTTTGTTAAAAGTTTATATCAGAAGAAAATAAATGAGCTTTTCTGATCATTTGAGGGATATCTTTAGATATTCCCACCTAGTAATGAACCTCTTCCTCCTTATATCAAACTGCATTAGTAGTGCATGGAAACTCATGTTTATTCAAACTCCAAGTAAATTCAAGTCAGATTGCTAATTTTAAAATATTTTGTTATAAAATATGATTCACTATACTCCTTTTTAAATCATAGAAGGGAATGGGAATTGAATTAGAAATGCGCATAAGATACCAGGAATGTTTCTGACCATAAGATGACTGTGAAATGGACTAAAAGTATTTTATTTTATATTGCATGGAAGCAGCACAGTATTCAGTTTTAGTTCTGGTTGACAGCCAGCTGTAAGAACCAATTCTGTGTATTGCAATGGTTTGAATTAAGTGTTAAAATAAAAAAAAAACTGTATCAAAAAATTACTGTATCAAAAGTGGATACAGTAATTTTAAAATATCACTAAAGGAACAGGACTATAGTCAAGGAAATCTATTTGTGGCCAATGTGTTCAACTTAGTAAAATTTGAAATTAATTTAGATGTATGTTTTCCTGAGGAAGACAGCATTCAAGAAGCAGAGGTATGTTTTAATTATATTCAAAGCATTTACATTAGCAGTTTGCAGCTATGACAGTTCCATAATCTAAGATTTGTTTCCATTACCATCATCCTCTGCCTTTGTTACAACAAAGCTTCTTACTGAGGATTTGTTGTCATGTTGCAAATATCTGCCCTTCTACAAGAGAATAATTGCTTAGAAGAAAATTGGGTGATATTTGGGTCAGTCTTTACTGACTAGGTAAAATATGAACAAGTGCAGATATTTAAATTTCCTAAAATTGAGAGGAAGAACTTAGCTCAAAACTGATTTAGTCTGCAAATGCTAAATTTGATATGTAGATTGTTTTAGTACATTTCTGTTTCTTTTCAGAAATGAAACAGTATTGTATTGTATTTCAAAGCAAGAACAATTACAGACAATATTATGTTTTCATTTAGTAAAATTATATTTGTGGCTTATCAACATGTAATAGCTACCTATTGAGATTTTTATTAGTATATTAGAATTTTAAAAATATTTTTAACAGCAACAAAAAATTTCTTTCTAGTATATATATTTTTATTTTATAAAGCACTATTTTGTCATTCTGTTGTTTCACATCTCTGTGGGGCCCCATGCAGCCCTCTGATGCACAAATCACAGTGGGGCTTCTGCATCCTGCTGGTTCACTTTTTGTTACACAATCTTCCTGTGCATACATAGGGTTGGCTGGCAAACAGTAAAATGAGAAGAGATTAGCTATTGTACCATATCTGTTTACTGTTTCCAGAGTAACTTACTGGTTTTTTTCAGGTACTAGATAAACTCAATGAGACTTTAACTTTTGTGGATGGTGAGAATCTAAAGGAGAAATTGGTGGAAGTTTATGAAAATCCTACAGACAGAGCTTTGGAAAAACTGTCTGACTACCCAACAGGTATTTATTGGGGAAATGCAGTGCTGAGTATTAATCCTGAAAATTCCATAGGAGTTAGGTAAATTCTGTAACTCCAGATATAAACTTGCTATAGTAAGTTTATCTCATGAGTTCTTTCTTTATATTACATATTATTATAATCACATGGACATCTACTTTACAAAAAAATCCAAAGAATTTTGCCTCTTCTTTTTCTTCCCCTTAGAGTCTATATATGATATGAAAAAGCCCAGAAAACATTGGCAAACTGGAGCCCCTCAGACACTACTGAATTTTTTAGCTGATGCTGATGTCACATCTGCATGTCCTACTATGGCTGACAATGAACTTGGTGAGAAAGTTTTGGCTTTCAATGAAAGTAGTGAGGACCTAAAATTCAGACTGAATTCATCCATACCTGAATGTTCACATGATCCAGTAGGCTTTTAATTGCAGGACTTTGTAACAGCAGAGGTTATGGCACATTTTAAGCCATAGAAAACAGTTGTCCCTTTCCCCTCTAACACTGCAATCATGTTGTGTTGCTCGTACCTATCAAGAGCGCTGTGTTTTATGAATCACTCTGGCCTGACTCAAAACTCCAGTCTATTCAATTAACTATCACCACTTTCTCAGGCCTTGAGCTGATGACACACAGGAACAACAGTGAGTGTCAATGCTGTCCTGGAGTGTGGTGGAGTTGTTTTCCCTCTGCACACAGTGACAGTGTCACAAGTGCCACCTCACCCAGCTGTGGCTGTGGTGATGCTCCATTTTAGAAAAGTCCCTAGGCTTCTTACAGTACCGCTGTGTATATTCCCAGGCAGACAAGTATCTCAGTGACTGGTTGCTGCAAACAAGGAACTTTTCCAGCATTCCAGCTGGAATGCTCTGCACACCCAAGACAGACAAAAAATAACCTGAAGGGCTTGCATGGATAGTAAAGACAAAGCAGAAAATTATTAATACACCACCTTTTGTTCATTCTGCCTTGGATAAAAGATCACAGGGCACAAAAGAAACAGGAACTTTTTATAAGCTCTTTCAAACCAAAAAGCTGACAAGTTTCAGAACAAGGGCTGCTCAGTGAAGCTGCACCTGTCTATTCCAGGTTTAATAAGAAGTTACTTAACCATTAAAATCAGTGTTAAACATTTTAGTGATGAGTAGTCCAGACTATTTGCTCCCTATCCATCAGATGAAGTACTGACAAAAAAAAATCAGGAGTATTCCATAAAGGAAAAAAAAAAATAGATTCCAGAATTACTCAAAAGGAAGTCTTGAGACTAGAATGTCTGAATCTGACAAAAGACAGTAATGCTTTAATGACCTGAGAACCTTGCTGTTCTTCAGCTCACCATGGTATTCTGCCTAAAGACATCCCAGAAAACAGGAAGCAGTGGAAACAGACACCACCCGAGACACTCCTGAACATCCTAGAAAAAGCAGACCTGTTTGATGATTCCTTTATCTGTTTTAAGGAAGACAAAGGTGGGATGTTTTTTCCTGTAAATTTTGCATGTTCTTCTTTTAGTGTAATATTTCTTCTACCCATGGCACAGGGTCTGTGATGAGAAACAACATTTTGAAGCAGTTGGCAACTTCGAAAAATGGGGACAGCACCTCTGCTCTGTCCCTGAGCACTGAGAGGCTTCTTCCAGGATGTTGCTGTTTTCAAAAGCAAGGAAAAGGGCAAACCCTACTTGCTGGCTATTACCTTCATATGTAATTCTTTCATTTGTTTGGGTAGACAGAGGTGGGCTGTAGGTACCATAAACCTGGAGCTGTTGTGGTTGAAGAACCCTGTAAAAAGCATTTATTCAAATACATACATGGTGACTTAAATGATAGTGGTGACTTTACAACAGGGTCCATGCTGATACAGCTGACACTGCAATTGATTCAAACTCACCTACACTGCAGCCCACTTTCCTAAGGTAACAGACTGTTTAAAAAATTGCATTTACTTTGCATCAACAGAAGTGTGACATTTACATTGTTGCAATTTGAACATCAAAACACTTTAAGCATTTATTTATTTGCTATTCCTTTACACATGCTTTTATAGTTTTCTACTATACAACTGAAAGAAAGTTCCTCTTTCTTTACAGGAGAGAGATTAACTCTGTTGCCTGCAGAAGAAAACAAGGAAGATGATTTAGGAACAAACTCTGCTGTTGCTGTTGATGAAGGTAGACTTGAGCCAAGATCAGATGATGAAGACACGTAAGTCAAGCACATCAGAAGAAAAATCCACACAACTGGACAGGTTTTTAGGTTGCATTGCCTAAAGTTTTTCTGTGTTCTAAAAAATATATAAATAAAGAAAGAAAACTTGCAGAGTCTGCTAATTTAACTTTTAATTCTGGAATTTGTAACAGCCAATGCTGTCATTAAAAATTACAGCAGAAATATTAACATGGCCTTGCAGCTGTTTTCTCGTGCCTTTTAAATAGAGGTAAACAATGTGACAGAGATAGAAGAAACAGTTCACAATTAGGTGTGCCACTTGTATATTATTTATAATGTGTTTTAAAAACACTAAGAGTCCTTGAACTGAGAAAAGTTTATAATAAAGTTATATTTATTTAATTAATATAATTCTCTTGTTTTACTGTCCAGGAATTTTGAAGATTCTGAAGATGAACTCAGACAAGAGCTGGAGGAATCTCTGGAAAAATTGTCAACTTCTCCAGCAGAGAGAACCATGGAGTCTCACATTTTTTCAATAAATAAAGGTCAAACAGATGAAGAAAAGATGAGTTTACCTCACAAACTTGGAAAATCTGATGATGATTTAGAAAATAATTATAGGTAATTTGGTGTGGATGCGCATCATGAAGAACAATCAAATTTAATAGAAGGCTGTAATTCTTTAGCTTTAAAGGAAAACCAAATCAGGGTACTTTTTAGATGTCTGAACATTGAAAAATCCTCACCCAGACTGAAATGCTGTTTCTTCTATCATTCTGAGCTACCTGGACATACCTGACAAGTCTTGCTTGAGCAAGTTTCTGACTGTGTACTCTGTTTAACCGTTTTTGTATCATGTAAGAGAGTCTCCTAGTTTGTGTATTTTATTTCCCTAGATAAATCAACTCCTTATTTTAAGAATCTCTTCCAGCTTTTCATAGTCAATGTGTACTGCCAGTACAGCTTTGTAATCTACAGTATCGCTTACTTACCCTATGTAGCAATATCAACTGCTCAGGAGTTCAATATAGTAGCAGTAAAAGGGTTCATTAGCAACATGAGAATTGTGCATTCCACAGTTGCTAATAAAACATGTAGGTATGTAGGTTCTTCCAACCATATTTTTTCACATAAAAAAATTCATACAACCCAAGTGAATCTTAAATAAAGGGAAAACTAGTCTGTAATCTGATTTTAGCAGTTTTTTTCAAAGAATCATTTATGTTGGAAAAGATCATTGAGTCCAGCTGTTAACCTAACACTGCCAAGTCCACCACTAAACCATGGCCCTATCTGCTATGTCTTTTACATACCACGGGGGATGGTGAGTCCACTCCTTCCCAGGGCAGTCTGTTCCAATGTTTGACAACCTTTTCTCTGTCAAAATTTTTCCTAATATCCAATACAAACCTCCCCTGGTGCAACCTGAGGCCGTTTTCCCCTATCACTGGTTACCTGGGACAAGAGACTGACCCCCACCTGGCCCCACCCACTTTTCAGGCAGTGGTAGAAAGTCATAAGGTCACCCCTGACCCTCCTTTTCTCCAGGCTGAACACCTGCAGCTCCCTCAGCTGCTCCTCACAGGACTTCAGACAGAATTTGAGGTGCAGCCTCACCAGTGCCAAATAACAGGCATATGGTAGATTCTGAAAAAAAAAAAAAAAAAAAAAATCTGGGTACAAAGGCTGTAAAACAAAAATGTTGACTTTAAAAAGTATGACTGCAGGTAGAGAGTCAAGAAACAGGTAAAGACTGAAAATATTCAGTAACTAAAAGAGGCTCCTGATAAATAAAAGAACTTCTTGATGTAGTTCTGCTCCCGAAGCACTGTCATGGCTTGTGAATCCATAAGGCTTTTAAGTGCACCATACTCTCATGTAGTTAGCATAGAAGCATTTCTTTCACAGGAGAAAAAGTCTCTGTTACATAAAGCAGCCTGACAGAAAGAAAAAACCTTTTTATTTAATGGAACCAAGAGATTATAGCTTAGATATATTTACACGTGCCACACAGTCAAATATAAAAATTTTACTCATGTTCATTTTTACTTATATACACTTATTTAAATAACGGCTCCACAGATAACAGGAATGTGTCTTCAAAATGCTGGTCAGAAAACCTGTGCACAGAGCGACGAGCGTTTTCTCTGATCTGCAGTCTTTTCTCAGGAGACAAAGAAAAGATAAAAGCCATTGTCTCTGCATAGCTGTCCTCATCTTCTGCTAGGAAGCCTGTAACATGTCCTTCATGGGGTACCACGATGTCCAGTTTGGGGCCACCAGAATTGTGAGCCAGGATAACTGTGCCAGCTGCCATACATTCAACTACGCCTGTAAGAGATACAAAAAATGCTGATATGAGTGTGCACATCATGTGCTTTGACCTTCTGTAAAACACTGGGAAGTTAAACCAACAGTAAAATTCACTACAGACTGCTATTACAAATCAGCTGGAAAAATACAGTGAAAATGGTCCCATAAGAAACACAAATTTAAATTTTTCAGTTCTAAGGACTGAAATGGCAGTTTCTCTTAAACATATAAAATTTAAATTAGGTATCAGATATAACTGGTTCATTTGTGGGTCTTGTAATGTACCTGATTTTAAGCCTTTGGAAAGATACTGAGAAAAAAAGTTGACTAAGCACATTTCAATCAGAACATATTCAGAACTTCAGTGTTTTGCAGATGAACAAATCTTTATAGCTTCTGACAACTCAGCAAGACACTAGTAAAAATTGTTATCTCTACATTTGTATTTTTGATGGAAGAAATTTTAACTAAATAGGAATCAGTAAGTTTCCCTCAGCCAAAAGCTGTGGGATAGGAACAATATATAATGTATACAGCAGCTTCAATTCTCCTCCATGGTTCCAGAACAGACCTCAGAAGTGCTGATTCTTCTCAGTTCTGATTTGATTGTTATAAATTCCCTCAGCTCAAACACTGCCTACTATAAATAGTGCTCCAAAGTTTTGGACTAAGTTTTTCACACATAAAAAGCCTGTCAGATGAAGGTTAAATCCTGCTCAAATTCAAAATCATAGTGTGATTATATCACTTTTAAAAAATATTTAACTAAACTGCTCTGTGGGAGGAAAAAAAACCAAAACAAAAAACATTATTTCCAGTATTTTGCTGCTTCTTCTGAGAGACACTTCAATATCAATTTTTTTATACCAAGCTCCAACAGACCATAAACTACTACTCCTGATACTTACTTAACCTGTTTTCTAATAAAGTCTGAAGATATTAACTGCAGTTTAGTCACATTATAGCAGAGTATGGCACCCATCTGCTTGGCTACTAACATATCTGATTGCTGTAGATTTATAAGAGATGGGCAATCTGGCACTCCCTTTTAAGGTCAGGACTAATTTAACCTCAATAAACTGCACCCCATACCTTAATTCTGAGTCCCAGCTCCCCTCTGGCATTCTGCTCCATGCTACACCCACCAATTTAAGGTCTTCACACATTTGCCTCAGCAGAGATGCCTAACACAATGAGATGACCAAAGGTACCTGGTGGCATCTACACGGGCTTATTTGTACCAGACAGGAACTATGGGAAACTCACACCCCTGAAACAGCAGCTGGAGCCCCATGACATACACTGGACATTTCAAATGGCATTTGAGGCAGGTGAAACACAACCAAAATCTCTAACATGGATGTCTACACATGAATTATCTCTAAGCTTCCTTTGCAGCCAGTGGTGCCACCAGGGCACAATTTAAGGCGCTGAAAGAGAAGCACCTGCAGCCTCTTGAAGCTCAGGAAGGTTGGCAAACCTAACCCAAGGACAACAGGGTGACCCATGACCTTGCAGGGCGATAGCTGGAGGTTGGCAGGACATCCTGGGCAGCACAGGTGGGTCTAGCTCTGTGCTCAGGTGACCAGAGGATGCACAGAATTATCAGCCTATGACTACAGCACTTCAGCTTGCACTACAGTAGCATCTAGTGGTGCATCATCTGCACCACATCTGCACTGGTCCCGTAGGCTTTACAGCAGCTACACTGCCTCCAACGGGAACAGGAGCTGGACACCTGCTTGGCATGCAGACCTCTGTGCTTAGACACCTAGAGACAAGCAGCTGAACACTCAGGAAACGTACTGACCGATCCCAAAGTGCTCATTCCACATGGTGTGCAGGCCAATGGTGGCCTCAGCCAGGTGTCTCTTCAGCTCCTCAAAGGGAATGTTAATCCTGAACATCACATCATCACTAACTCCTAGCTCTTCACACAGACATTTCAGCTTCTTTACACGCTCTTCATCTTGCTGGTTACGACAGCCGCCAATTAAAATCAGCTTCAGTGATGGCTGCTGCCCCACTCTTTTCTCTTTCAGCAATTTAGCAAAGGCTCTGATTTGCAAAGGATGATCTTTTTCAGGCCTGAACTGGCTGACAGAAACAATGGAATATTCACTGGTGCTCTTTTCCACTTCCAGTGGAATATCCAGGAAAGTCTGAACATCGCATGGTGGATACACAACACTGGTGCACGCCCCAGCTCTCCAGAGGGAAAGGATGTGATTCAGTGTCCAAGAAGAATTCACCATTACCACATCACTGCAAGAACCAACCAAGCCGTACATGAAAGCAAAGAAGTAGTAGTAGACAAGTTTAAATTTGCTGAAGAGAGGGCTGCTTGTAATGAAGGCAGCATTGTTAAACCTGGTATCCTGATTCCTCACGACAGAGAGCATATCGGTGCTGATAGTGGGGTAATGGACGTAGCATCCAACACGACAACCTCCTAGGTATTTGAAGAGGGGAATTGTGAAGGCATAACCCATTGAGTCAATATAAACATCAGGAACGCACTTTAGAAGAGCTTCCCAGCCAAGGAACACCGATCCTAAACTTTGTCCCAGCAAAGTGAAGTGAGGATAAAGAGAAGCTTCCACAAGGAAACGTTTTTTTAGAAATACAAACTTCACAGGATGAATTAACTTAATATTGAATCTTCTGAAAGCGCCTTCAATTATTTCTTCTCCAGTGGCATCTCTATCACCAGTGTAAACAACACACGTTACATTCCTGTACCTGTAAGAATAAAGAAAAATAATTTCATATATTCTTCTCTTCATATTTTTCAGCAAGAAACTAAAATACAATACACTTAAAAGTACTCAAGAAGAATGTGCGAACAAATGTCTGTCCCAGAAATTATTTTAACTAAATTATACTTTTCCTTATACTTCCATGTTTTTTTTCTGATCTGCAGAAAAACATATGGCTGAGAATTTGGGGAATATTTTAATTTGCATAAAACATAAAAGGAGCTCAGTATTATTCTACAGACTTCATTACATTAGGAGGTATCTGTCTAGTGCACAGCATGGGCAAAATGCAAATGATGGCAAATCATTGGATGTGCCCATGTTAAATCCACTTTAGGTATTAATTTGTTTTGCCTCCTGCACCAAGAGGCAAGTACAAAGATGATCAGTTATCTGCTGAGGAGTTATGACTATACAAAGTTCCATACCAGCAGTGGAAAACTGAGGAGGAAGGAGAGGTTTTCTGAAGGAAAGAAAGGAAAAAAAGTGAGAGGTCCCAAAGCAGGAAATATCAAATTCTAAAGGGATGAAGTAGAATGCAACCACATGAAACTCAGATGTAAAGTACAATGTAAGACCAGTAGATTAATGACACCTACTTAAATATGTAAAATGCCAACACATGTATAAAGAACAGCAACAGAAGCTGAGAATGAAATTTGGTGTTTGATAAAGACATATGCTTACTTCTTCTGTAGCGTTCTTATGGCACACCACAAGACTCTCTCCCCTCCACCTCCTGCGTTGCAATACGGGTGAAAAAAGGCCACCAGCAGTGGCCGCTTCCCATCTCCTCCTGCTGAGCTCAACTCTTTCTTCCTTTGTAACCACAGTCGCACTCCCCACAGCAGTACCACCAAGCAGATGCACAAAATTCCACTTAGAAATAATGCAGGGAGTAACAATGAGCACAGCAATCTGAAATAAGCCAGAAATGTTAAAAAATATAATTGCTTTAAAGAACTACTGTGTATGGCATTGAGTGAGAAGGACTTAAAAGTAGAGCTACAGGGAATTTGACAACTTCTTGAGTTCTTCTCAGAAATCATCAGTGTGTATGACTGACAATTACAGAAATCAAATCACTACTCTGCACTATTTATCCAAAGGTCTCTTTTCCCCTGCTGTTACCCTGCAATCACTTATCATTGTTTATTCATGCCCTATATGTGTTATCCATCTCCACGTGCTCTACACACTTTTTAAAAGTTGTATGCCCTTAGCAACCTGGCAATACACAACCAGCAGAGTGATTTCCAAATAGATTTTCAAGAGTTTTTTCAGCCCAATCTCCGGTTTGGCTCGCTCTGCTGTGAACCGCTTTGGTGCCGGGTTACTGGGGCCAGGCATCTCCTATTCCAACCTGCACTTCCCACACCCGGAGCACGAACAGCTGGGCCAGCTGTCCGGAGCAGCTCGGTGCAGTCTCTCTGTGCAGAGCCGCTTCCTCTGGTCTCTCAGTCACTGTCAGGGCTGTTCCCTTCGCTCTCCAGCCTCCCTGAGAGCTGTGACAGGTTTCCTGGCCCACAGGGACAGCGCCTGGTCCCTCCCGCTGTGCCGCTACGCCTTGGGACACACAGCGTTTACTCAGCCGCTCCCGTTTACCAAAGGAGCGACCCACGCCTCACGACTGACACACAAGGAAGCGCTTTCATTCTGGGCCGGGAGCGGCGGAAAAGCGCATTAACCCGTGCGAGCCCGCGGCACAGCGCGGAGCCGGGCA